TATTTGGGATTGGAAGATCACGCATGTTCCCTCGGTCAACCGCTGGCAAGCCACGCACAACGTCACCAGCACGCTCGGGCAACATACGACAAAGACCACGCAAGGCTGACAACTCAAAGGTCATGGGCACCAACATCCTGATTCGGGCTGACCGAGCAACCTTCAACGAACCATCCTTCAGTCGGAACTGGAGCAGATGACTGCCACCCGCGACTTCAGGGCCTAAGTATGCAGCCTGACCATATCTGCCCGTGATGGACTGCCTCAGACTCGGCGGAGGTGTTGCAAGGACCGACGCGCCCCAGACATACACTGCCCGAGGCTGCCTCAGAGTCTTCAAACAACGCTGCTCTGGCGACATTGCCGATCCCGGCTGAATGTTGTAGCGGTTGTGCACCTGAGCGCAATGCGAAAGAAGATAACCAACTCCTTTGCCATATGGCTCCAGGCCAACTTGCTCTAGTCCGGCGCACAAAGTGTTCGCGTTTTCTTTTGATGTTCGGATGGTTTTCTTTGCGACCGGAGCGTGCCGACCAACCGGAACATCAGACACCTCAACCGCACCAACGGTCATGGTATCAGCGAAACCCTGAGCAAGGTTCTTCACCACCCCCTCAAGATCCGACTTCACGCAAACCGACAAATCAGGCGCTTCAACTCCAACCAAGCCGACACTGCGTCCCCACGCCGACATTTCTCCAAGCATCACCTCACGCGCTGCTGCTCCACGCGGTCCTGAAACTTCACGGTACATCACTGTTCCGATGGCAAAGCAACCAACAAGCACTAACACCAGGAACCAAATCCCCTTGTAGAAGAACTTGTCGATCTGAACTTCCTTTTGGGCTCCCTCTCCGGACTCCCTCTCGATTTTCCTAGCTGGTTCAAGGCCTCTACCACGCACACAATGCTCACAGCTGGAATTAAAAGGAACATGACTTCGCAACACATGCTCACGGTGAACCTTTCCCCATAACTCCTGGTGAAGCAACTCCTGATCACCATGTAGCAACCACGCCTGATCGCCGTCTGGGGCCGGTGCTTTCTCCTGATCAAGCTCACCAACACACACATGCTCAACCATGCCACTCATGCCAACCATGCCAACATGCAACTCATGCCAACATCACAAGCGCAAGCACAACCATCAAGCACATCAAGATTTTTGCTGCTCGCCATTGACTGGGAAGATCCTTTCTGGCTGACTGCACTCAGCGCTTTTGGTCCGTCACCACACTCCATCCACTCGAAGTGAGTGTTCCGGGATTGGTCGGTGGTGGCGGCAATGGCGATGTCTTTGGCGGCGTAGCCGGTGCCCGTGATGCGCTGGCCCTTGGCGATGTCGGGTTCCTCGGAGGTGTGGGCAAGCGTCGACGCGGCGGAACCCGCGGAGGGGTAGGCAACCTTTCCGGATACCCCGGAGAGTCGGCTTCCTTCCTGGGTGGGCTCGGGGGCTTTGCTTTCTCCTTGATGATCTCGGAGATGGTCGTCACAGTGGTGGGGGGCCTTGCCGTCCAGGCACTGCAAAAAATGCTCCTTGAGGTGCTCCTCCAGCGTCCTTCTCTCTGAGCCCTTCTTCTCCCTGCGAAAGCGATTCAAATCGGACTTCGCAGCTAACGTCATGCGACTTTCCTTGAGCTTCTGCTTCTTCACTGCCCTTAAGCTTGCACTCCACAACGTCAACCACGGCTGCTGGCGATCGGAACGAGGAACCAGCTTCACAGGGGTCCTCTTTGTCGACGAAGAGCTCGCTCTTTGGCATTCTCTTCACGAGAGGCTTCTGGGGCATCTTTTTCACTTCGGCTTCTTCGGCATGGGCTTCTGCATGGGGATCTTCGAGGCGATCTTGCCCGGCTTCAACACCATTCACGTCTGGTAAGACAAGGAGCCTCCGTCACCTGAACTGCTCAACGCGTCCGTCGAGACAGTTCCCACACCAGCGCCAGGGTTGTCTTTCCCTTCCATGCGCCATTCCACTTCGCTTTCGCTGGAGGAGGCCATCTTCTCGGGCTGCGGAAGGTCTCGAACTCGAGGGCTTTGCAATCTGCTGCGTTGCACTCTGCTCTTGAGACACCAAGCAGGCCCGTGCCACTGCATGACTCTGCAACCAGCAACAGTTGTTGAACCACACAGCCTTAAATTTAAAACCACTAGCTTGCATGTGGAGATGGGGGGCAAAGGAAACTGTTCAATTCCCATTCAGGAGTCGTCCTAGGCTTAGGAGATTAAATCGCACAGGTGCAACCAGGGCTTCAAACTCAACGACGATAGGACTGGATCCCTTAACGACAAAACAAACACGAACCACAGCACTCTTCTGAACCCCGATGGAAGCACCCGTGGCGCTTGGTGAGCATGGATTAAGTGAATTTTTTTTATGACATGAGCATGGCAGCCCCGCATGTGACACATAGTAGCAGCTCTGAAGCCATGGACTGGTGGTTGCTGGACTCCGGAGCGTCGACGCACCTGATCAGCGAGGAGACACTGCAGCATGTGCAAAGTGCTGAACCTGAGTGAGCGGCAGCAGCGAGGCTTCTAGAACCGCAGTTGGCGGCCTTGACTTTGAGGGCCCGCGTGTGTTTGCAGCGGCAATTGGTTGCGAAAATCTTTGATATCGCTCAGGGAGATTCCGATGAGTTGGACTTGAGCCCTCTGGAAGGTCGTGGTTGCTGGAGAGTTCAGAGACCCCCTGTTGAACTTGAGAAGGCCCCAGTTGAGCTTGGAACGTCGCAGCTTGAAAGCCTAGAGACCCCGTTGAACTTGAGAAGGCCCCGGTTGAGCCTGGAACGTAGGCAGCTTCGAAGCCTAGAGACCCCCGTTGAGCTTGAGAAGGCCCCAGTTGAGCTTGGAACGTCGCAGCTTGAAGCTTAGAGACCCTCGTTGAGATTGAATCTCTACCAACGTGCCACACCTTGGCCGCTTTCTTAGGGCATCTGTTTGAATAGTGCCCCAATTCATTGCAGTTGTAGCTCCTTGTTGTGCTTTGGATCACATCGCCGATCCGGTTAAGGTCGAGACCGCAGGAACAACAACGACACAGCGAATCCGCTGAACTTTAAGGGCGATGAAGGGAAAGGACAAAGGGAAAGGTAAAAGGAAAGGACAAAGGAAAGGACAAAGGAAAGGACAAAAGTCGCTCGGGAAAGGACAAGTATGACGAGAAAGGTGCGAGCTCCGTTGGAAAATAGCAGGGTGAGTTTACCGTCATGCCAGCTCGCAGAAGAATCAGGTGTGAGGTTTCTTGCGAGTGTTTGTTTGCTCGTCTAGCTTGTAGCGGCCATGACAAGTTTAGTGGATTTGGCCCTCTACTTCCTCCAGCGAGCAGACCAAGCGGGTCGTTGAAGCCAAAGGGGTCAATGCCAGAGGACCGTGACTTTAAGTTTGGCCCCTTCGAGGGAGAGGCTGGTGGTTAACTTCAGGTTCTGAACTTCTTCCTCGCGGCTGTGGCATTTCTCGGGCCAAGACTTTTCCCATTGCTGAACGGTCATGTCCAACAAGTGACTCGGCTCCAACTGGCCAGTCAGGGAAATCCCCGAAAGCTGAGTGCGTAACTGGTCCATGCGTGCATTGCTCAGCGAGTCCCACCTTTTCAGGCGAAACACCTTCGGATGGTTCTGCCATGTCCTTGAGGGAGGCTACCAACATCGTCTGGGCCTTAAGAATCAACCGTATCAGTGATGCCTTCTCGTTCGCCAGGTTGATTAGTTGGGACAAGCATGAGGCTCACGTCTCCTCGCTTTTCAAGTATCTCACCAAACCAGCTCAACAAGGTTATCGTAAGGTTTCCTTGAGGCAGATTCTGCGAGCTGACAAGCTGGCTTTCGCAAAGATGGCCGAGGCAGGAGCAGAGGTTCGTGCAGACGCATCGGGGACCTTGCCTTTGGATGCTAGGATATCTTCAGTGCTGCAGGATTACGATTTGATCGTTGCGCTCCTTCCTTTGGGGGATTTTGAAGGCGGAGGAAAGTTGCGATTGGGAAAAGGCAACCGTAGTCATCCGTACGAGCATGCTCCGAACAAGGGCAAGCCGGGCACAAGGGGAAGTTTTTTTGGAGCCCTAGGGGCTTCGAGTCATGGCCCAGCGGGAAGGGTAAACCCTCGGCAAGGAGAAGGCTGGCGTCGGGAAAGGTTGCGGGGCTGGCAAGTCGGAATGGCTGCCCGAGGACCTGCGTTACCAGGGAGCGTCCGCATGGAACAAGAAGGGCAACAAGGTCTGCTACGGTTTCAACCTCGGCGGGTGCACGGACGCCAATTGTCAGAAGGGTGATCATGGGTGCATCATCTACAAGTGTGGTGGTGACCACCCGGTTACCAAGTGCCCGTTGAAGCCCAAGAAGCTGTGACTAGGTGATCCTGGTCTTGATGAGACTTCGCTGGCTCAGGATGTTGAGATGGTTCCTCAGGATGAATCCGTTAGTGGCGTCATCTCTGCTTCGGCCCAGGAGGTCGACATGGAGGCCTTACCTTCAGGTGCGGGATTGGACCCCGTATCTGCAGTTGGGGTTGCCAAAGGTTTTGAGTGTGATGTTGAATGTTCTTTTTCGATGGCTTTGATGCCGTCGGCCACAACACTGCCAGTTTTCCAGACCAGCGAGGAGACATCTTCTCGGAGCGAGCAGTGTTCTCCGGCTACAGAGCCGCAACAAGTTTTCTCGAACAAACAGCACGAGGGACCTACCCGTGCGATCCTTCAATGTTTTGCTGGGCAGGCCCGCGTGGCTGCAGCTCTGCTTGCGCAGGGTTACTTTGCTTATGGAGTGGATCGTGTTAAACACAAGTCTGCTATGGCACCTGTTTTGCAAATGGACCTGTCCTCTCGGACGGCTTGTGATTCTGTTCTTACTTGGTTGGACAAACAAAAGATTGCGGGGGTGCTGATTTGCATACCAAAGCTCACCTTGGACCCCATCTGCAAAAGGTGAAAGTACAGTAGCACACCCCTGTTTTACCCCAAAGTGATTTTACTTGGACACATCATGTTTTCCATCGAGTGTGCAATGACACAGGCGCTTTTGCTTGAAGTGGAAAAGTTTCGTATGGTAGCGGAGCTGTGAAGGTCCACCCTTGGGTACCTGAGCTCCGGGAAAGAGGCCTGGACCCTAGCCTCGACAGTAGGGTAGGTAGTGCCCCAGCTGTAGGTTTGTGCCTCTGAGGGTTGGATCCTCTTCATAGCTTCCTTTGTGCCTGGGCTGCTGGAGGCGGCCTAGTGGGGTGCAGACGGGCAGCTGGGCGGCCAGAACCTCCTTGTCTTTTACCACCGCGCTGTGGGCTGCTGTGGCACAACGGCGACGTGGGGCGCTTTAGAAGAAGCAAAGCAGAAACTGCGTGAGTTTTACTTTGAGCAGCTCTTGTTGCGACCGAAGCCAGAGAATCGGACCCAGAAAGGCTGGCAGAACATCCTGGAGTCAGCTCGCTTGAGTTTGGAGCCCAAGCTGGATAGACTGAGCAGGATCGAGGACGTTTTCGCTTTGGCTGAAAAGTGTTTGAACAAGAACCAGAGCATCTTGGAAGATTTTCGGTTCATTGCAACAGACAACGTGTTTTGTGAAGCTGTAGAGTGGAGTGCTCAAGAGAACTTTGTGCACGCGACTGAAGAGGGCAAGACGTTTGAGCGTGACCTGGAGATCTTGTCTAGGTTGGACCAGGGCGAGAACACCGGATCGGACGTGTTCGAACAGTCGCTGGAGCCTCGAAGTGAACCACTTGACCTGACCGAGACCAGTGAGCCCACACCAAAGAGGTTGAAGTTCAAGGTGGCATTGAAGCAGTCTGAGGGTTCCATTGAGCTTTGATTGCAGTCATGGCGTCTCCTCAAGGTCAATCCCAACCTTCCTCAGCCCCGAATCCGTTTGCACAGTCCCAGCCAACATCGCCTCAGTCTGCAACTGCGAGTGTGCCTCAGATTTTGGAAGCCTTAGGCCACATGGTGATGCAGGGCCAAGAGCAGAATCGTTCTTTCATGAGTTTGTTTCAGTCCATGACCATTGAGCAGCAAAGACAGTCAGAAGAATTGAAAGAAGCGGTCACTCACCTTGGTTCCAGGAAGGAAGCTCCGACGGGGTGGACGAAGTTCATCCCTCGACCTGACCCTTTCAAGCCCAAAGACCGAGAAGAAGAGCTAACGCAATGGCAAGATTGGAGTTGGAGCTTCAAGCAGTGGATCCTTGCAATAAGCCCTGAGATGTATACTGCGATTGAAGAGGTAGAGCAGGATTTGAGTTCGCCTTGTGAAGAAGCCACTATGACCGACGATGCCATTCTACAGGGAAAGCAGCTGTATGCAATCCTCACGAGCATGCTTCGGGAAAGGCCTCTCCAAATCCTCAAGAGTGTCACCGGTGCCAATGGATTCGAGACATGGCGTGTGCTAAACAATGTGCTGGCACCCACCAATAAGACACGAGCGCTTGCACTGTTGGGAGCAATCTCACAGTTTCCGGCAATGAATCAAGGGAATCTCCTGGAGCAGGTGCTACGTCTGGAGGACCTCTTCCGCAAGTATGAGCAGGCGTCGGGAAAGCCAGTTCCGAATGAGATGCAGAGTGCAATCTTGTTGCGTGTTTTGCCTCAGCAAGTTCGGTCACACTTGACAATCACCATCGGTGACGATTCCACGTATGAGAGCATGAGAGACATGATCCTTCGGTGGGAGCGTTCTACACAGAAGTGGTCTTCGCAAATCGTGACAGGAGGGGCACCGCAGAAACCTTCGTATGATGATCCGAACGGCCCGAGCCCCATGGATGTCGATCGTGTGAAAGGATGGCCTAAAGGAAAGGGCAAATGGGGTAAAGGGGCTGGCAAAGGTGGTGGCAAAGATGGAGGAAAGTATGGAGGAAAGAACGGCAAAGGCAAAGGTGGCAAAGGAGGATATGAGAGTCGTCCAGGCAAAGGAAAAGGCTATGAGAAAGGAGGAAAAGGAAAACAGTCCTCATGGAGCAGGAATGATTGGAGCAAAGGAGGAAAGGACAGAGGAAAGAAAGGAGGAAAGGGCAAAGAAAGGCTTTCTCATGATGCTTGTCGAATCTGCGGGAAGTCAGGGCACTGGGGTAATGAGTGTTGGATGAAGGACAAAGTTCGAAACATCAACCAGAATGATGCATCGTCCGCATCGGGGAACAGTTCGTCCGCATCGAGCTCAAATTCATCGACCGGAACAGCAAGTGTGAAGCGTGTGTTTGATCTTGCAGACAGTGATCGACTTGATGTCCCAATGACAACGGTCTATGAGATGGACAGCGAGGGTTCAGAGTCGTATGTGTCAGACAATGAGTCGTGGTGGTGCAGAGTGATCGAACATTCTATGGTTGATGGTGAGGATGAACTGGAAGTCATCGACTTTGCTTGGGAGGCGTACAGCGTCGTGGACATGAGCTTAGATGATGCATTGCTTGGAGATGAAGAATGGGTTGCACATGCAGAAGTAAGAGGGATCAGCAGCAGGTCTGACGAGGGCTACAGCGCTCTCTCTGAAGGGCTACCTCAGGAGGTGGTCTTGGATTCAGGTGCTGACCTCAGTGTGATGCCGCGAGCATGGTTGGAAGCGAATCTTGGAGACAGGGGTTCGAGTGCACCAGTTCGAATGGTCGACGCCCAAGGGAAAGAGATGAAGAACCATGGTAGCAGGAAGATCACCTTGGACCTAGGCCCAGCGATGATCCAAGAGGAGTTCTACGCGTCCGATGTTGGTGCGCCCCTGATCTCACTAGGGAGATTGCTGAAGAAAGGTTGGAGCCTCGACCACAGGAATGGACTCCTGCATCTGTGCAATGATCCCGAAGAGATAGAAGTGCCGGTCTCATTCCGAAGGAATAGCCTTGTGGTTGATGCCAGAGTGTTCATGGTCCGGGATGATGAGGTGAAAGAGCCAGAAGAAGAATGTGTTCGAGCAAGCAAAGAAGGTCGGATTATAGTGCAACCACATTTCAACATCCACGGACTTTCTCCAGGGTGGAATTTCCTCGACTGTGGTGATCCTTGCATCTTGAAGAGAGATAAGGTCCGCCTCGATCCTTCAGATGACATGTCAGTGCATTTGTGGAAGTATCGCACGACTTTGGTGTTCAGGCAGGAAGCGTGGGAGCTTGTGGACTTCCAGGAATCCCTGGAAAGCGTGGAGAACCTGAGTGAGGTGATTGAACATGGCGATGCAGCAGTCCTGATATTCACCATCATGCATCGTACGAAAGGTGACCCCGATCACTACGGCCTCACGCTCGTTGCTGAAGCTGGAACTTCCGAGGCAGATGAAGTGAAAGATTGGCCAGTTGATCTTGATCTGTATGCCGAAGAGATGAGCGTAACTGATCCGCATGAACAAATGAGCCCAATCGATCTCCCAGGTGTATGTGATCAAGACGGACATGAAGAACCGGTGGGCGCAAGTCCCGCCCCAATGTTGATCGGATGTGGAGAAGAAGACCATGTGGTAGTAGAGGGACTGCGGTTGAACGAGGATTCGAGTGCTCGAGAACTACGAGAAGCGTGCAAAGCTTTGGGACTGGGGATGTCTGGTTCCAAGAAAGTTATGTTCCAGAGGTTGATGAGTCACTCAAAGAAGAGAGCACTGGAGGATGCGATGGCGCTGGAGAATGCGGCGAAACCTCATGAACATCAACCACGTGGAGAGCGACTTCCTAAGCAACCAACTGCTGATGAGATTGCCGAGCATGAGCTCACTCATGTACCGTTCAAGGAATGGTGCAGCTACTGCGTGAGTTGCAGATCAAGGAGAGATGCTCACCGTCAGGATGGAGAACAACATGACACCGATGGCGGGGACCCAATCATTGCATTCGACTTCTTTTACACCGATGTCACGGGAGGTGAACTAGACTTCATGCGAAGTGCTCCTAAGGACAAAGATGCGATGGTTGTGGTGGTGGCTGTGGACAAGACGACAGGAATGTCAAGAGCCATACCCCTAGAGTCGAAAGGTGACCAATCACTGGTGTATGCGGCGAAAGAAATCTTAGGCTTCATATCCTATCTGGGATATCAAGGCGTGGTGATCAGGTCAGACAATGAGCCTTCTGCAACAGCCTTGACCAAGATGATTTGTCACTCCAGGACGAAGTTGGGTTTGAAGACCGTGGCGAGACCGTCACAACCTCATGAGCATGCAACAAATGGAATGGCAGAGCAATGTGTTCAGAACATTCGAGATCTAGCAGCAACTTTGTTGGAACAGGTGAAGGCTCAATCGGGAACGGAGATTCGGACGAGAGATGAGATTGCAGGCTGGGCGCATGTGCATGCCTCAATGCTTCAGAACACGTTTGCAGTCAGAGCTGGAACGACTTCGTTCGAGAAGGCATTTGGCTTGGCCTACAATGGGAAGTTGGCATGTTTCGGCGAGGTGGTCCTGTTTGCGTTGAGTCAAGGCCATCGAAAGAAAGGACGCCCGAAGTTCGTGAAAGGCCTGTGGCTTGGAAAATCGCTGGTGAACGACATGCATGTGTGTGGAACAGCGCTTGGTTTGTACCTGTCAACAACGGTCCGGAGGCTGAATCCACAGGAAAGGTGGAGCAAGCATATGCTGAAAGAATTCCAAGGCAAACCGTACAAGTTTTCGTTGAGCAGCCTGGGAAAAGTCGTGATTCCGGCTATGAAAGACAGGACAAAGCCGAATGTGGTACCGGACATGCCAGTGATGCCAATGGAAGGACCAAAGGAGGCAGCGTTGAAGGCACCAGATGAGGCAGGATCTGACTCCTCAAGTTCATCATCGCAGTCAGGTGCAAGACAATCTAGCAATGAAGAGCCAGGAGGGGTTTCGACACCATCGTCACAGCATGCTAGCTCAGCCCTGTCGGAAGGCAGAACTGGTGATGGCGTGCGAGAAGAGATGGACATCGAGGCAGGAACAGGACAGAAGAGATCTGAGCCCGAACCAAGTGACAAGGAAGAAGACAAGCGTGGAGAAAAGCGACCGATGCCGGAGGAGAAGAACGTCCCGCTGAATGCACCTCCACTTTATGCTGGGAGCTCATCGCCACCAAAGACCTCAAGGGTTTCAACCGTGAAAGTTGCAGATGCTGAGTACTACACATTGGATGAGCACCTAGAAGAGGAGTGGGGTGACATGGAAGAGTGGGAGATTTGGTCTGAGGTAGAAGATGGAGAAGAGAGCATTGATTGGGGAGAGCTTTGGCGTAACAGGACTGAGAATGAGGGGCCTCCAGAACTGTCGGAACACGAGATGAGCCAAGTAGATGCTGAGAGCAGGAAGACCGAAGTGAAGCGACTCCTTGACATGGGAGTGTTGGAACAGGTATCGTCCTTACCTGAGAACGCAGAGTTGTTGCAGACGAAGCATGTGATGGACTGGCGGTACCGTGAGGCGAAGTGGAAGAGAAGGGCGAGGTTAGTGTGCAAGCAGCTGAAGATATGGGACCCAAACAGGACAGACGTGTATGCCCCAAGCACCAATCCATCAATTGCAAAGCTGTTGCCGGCCCTCATGGTTTCCCGACCAGGGTGGCAAATGGTTAGCTTCGACGTGAAGGATGCTTTCCTCGAGGTGAAGCAGCGTCAAGAGCTTTATGTGATGTTGGACGGCCTCCCATATAGAGTCCATCGTTGCTTGCCAGGACAGCAGGCAGCGTCTGCGTGGTGGGGAGAACAGCTGGCGGCGGACCTGGCTACAGCTGGCTTGGTGCCAGATGAAGCATGTCCGGCAGCGTTTGGACAGCCAGGTTTGGGTGCAACAGTTCATGTCGATGATGGCTTGCTAGCTGGAACCCCAGAGAGCACACGAAAGGTAACTGAGATCGTGGAGAAGAAGTACAAGCTGGAAGTCTCAGAACCCGTGAAGAACATAGGTGATAGCCTGAAGTTCCTGAAGAAAGAGTTACTAATCACCGAGTCTGGCATTGAGGTGCGAGTCGACAAGAAGTACTTGGAGAAGATTTGTGGTGTGTTGGACCTGAAAAGGCCGAGGGTGAGGAAAACGCCGTGCAGTCCAGAAATTGCCAAAATGGATGAGTCAGAGCCCTTGCAGGAGCTGGAGGCTTCGAAGTTCAGAGCGGCAGTTGGAAGCTTCCTGTACCTCAGCCCAGATAGACCAGATGCCCAATGGACCATCGCACACTTGGCAAGGTCGATGAGTCGGCCAACGAAGCGTATGTGGAAGCATGCCTGTCACTTAGCAGAGTATCTGTTAGCCACAGCTGATGTGTGTCTCACGTTGGCATGGACGTATCCGGGAAGGTCAAGTTTGGATGAGAGAAAGCTCAGTCGAGAGGAGGCAACAAGGCTGCAAGTAGAGAACAGCGGCAAACCGGATTTGGTTGAGGGCATGAGCGATAGTGACTGGGCTGGACATTGGACAAGGGTGTCATCGACGTGTGGCCACGTCTACTTGAATGGGAACGCGACCTTCAGCTTCGTGAGGAAGCAAGGCTCGATTTCTCTGTCGTCATGCGAAGCAGAGCTCATGGCATGTTGTTCCACGGCAGCAGAACTGATGTATGTTGGGCACGTGATCAAGACGCTTTCAAGCACACCCTGTCGGTTGTTATGCCGGCTAGACTCGTCTAGTGCCCGATCATTGCTCCAAAAGCGTGGCGTGTCGAAAGTGCGTCATCTGGAAACGAAACTGCTATGGGTACAGAGGGAAACTTCGAGGGGAACCTTGGAACTGGGAACAGTGTCCACGTACCTAAATACTGCTGACATAGGTACAAAGGCGCTAAGCTCAGAACGCTATGGATTCCTGATGTCTCGCCTGGGCTATGGTGGCTTCGAGTGTCTGAGCAGAAACAAGCAGAAGTATGAGCAGATGAATGCCAAGGTGATTCGTTTGCTGGTGATGATGGATGCAATGAGAACCGCGAATGGAGCAGAAGCCTTTGGAAGAGATCGTGAGCTTGAGCAAAGTGGCATCACGGTTATGAGCGCCTTGAGCCTGGAGATCAAGGTCAACCAATGGGGTGGTGTTCTCCTGGTGGCTGCGGGTTTGGTGATCCTGATGACCGTGCTGTACATGGTATGGCAAATGGCATGGAAGGAAAGGCGACTTGGAGACCTACAGAGGATGGCGACGACGACTGATCGAACAGAAGATGAAGAGGAATGGGAACATGAGCCAGATGAGGAAGGGGAACCACTACTATGTGGAGCAGATGAACCTCTACAACCAGATGAACCTCGACGACCAGATGAACCTCGACGACCAGATGAACCTCTACGACCAGATGAACCTCTACGACCAGATGAACCTCGACGACCAGATGAACTTCGACGACCAGATGAACCTCTTCGAGCAGATGAACCTCGACGGCAAGATGAACCCCAAGTCCGAGTACAAGCTCAACCTGTGCATCAAGGTGGACACGGGTGGAATCAGAGACAAGTGGCACTGATTGGCAACACAGGCCTGCGGTTCCATAGTCAGACGTGTGGAATGGTCCGGAAGGCACATCGTGATGGGCGACATGTTCGGTTGCTCACTCGTGAGCAAGCAGTCCGTGAAGGATACGAAGGATGCAGGCAATGCAACCCATGATGAGGACCCAGATGGAGCGAGATGACCTGAGATGCAACTGCGAGCCCAACTGAGCTGTGAAGCTAGATGCGAGACGTGTGCGACTTTGAGTCGTGTTTAAACTTGAAAGATTGCAAGTCCAACTGTTTCCATCCTCGAATGGGGAAGATGCACAGGGATTTGAAATCTGTGGATATGTGTTTGAAGTCTCTCTCGAGTTCTACCGAGAATGCTAGTGGTGGCAGTTTTCCCTGTATAGATTTTGGACAGATTCTGTAGTACACTCGTCTGTACGACGAATGTCCTAAGGAGGGGTGCAAAAGGTGAAAGTACAGTAGCACACCCCTGTTTTACCCCAAAGTGATTTTACTTGGACACATCATGTTTTCCATCGAGTGTGCAATGACACAGGCGCTTTTGCTTGAAGTGGAAAAGTTTCGTACCATCTCTGCGGCATTTGTTTTCGCGGTTATCAATGGATGCCTCGATAGAGACTTGCCGTTAGTAGTAGAAGGCTCTTGCAAGTCCCCATTTTGGGAAAATTTGAACCAACTTCCAGACGCTCAGCAGGCACCCCATTGGATCGAAGTGGAATGGGGATGCTGGATTCCTGCGAGTCAGCAGCGGAGTTTCGTGATGTCGAACCTCCCTGAAATCACAACGGTTAGGCGTGAAGGACGAGAACCGGCAGGGAAGTTGACAACACCGGAGACCTCCTCGGGGGCCTATCCCCGAGGTTTTGCGACTGCATTGGCTGAGGTCTTCGCGGCTGGCGTCACAGCGAGAAAACTTCTGTGTCAAAACCCTTCTTTGGCCAATAAAGCCATTCGAGTGTCAGCCATGCACCAACCTCGAGGGCATTTGAATGAGGTCATGCCGGAATGGAAGGTGGTCGTCTATGTGCTGCTGCCTAGATCAGTGACTGAGGACCCTTTCTCAGGACGCAAGCGTCTCAAGCAGGAGTGGCCGATTCCGGATGGCGTCCGAGTGTTGCCGGGGATGCCCACCCTGCCGGTGGATTCCCAGCTTCTGTCGCGGACTCAGACAGGGGGGAACTTGAGCCCGCAACTTCAGCAGGCAATGCAGCAACTGGATGGTGCCTCAGTGCTGAGAGTGGGGATTCCTTGGGATCCGATTGAATTTATTGGAAAGGCAGCAAAGCTAGGACACCCTTATCATCAGCTATCTAAGTGCAACAAACCATTAGAGAAGTTGATCGAGCAACTTGTACATCGTCCAGGTTCGGTGAGGCTTTATTGGAGACTCGTCTCCTATAGCTTTATAGACACACAATGTTTCAAAAGTTGTCTGGTCACTTTTGAAACTCGCTTTTCGGATCTTTGTAACCTTGGAAGCTACTTCCCTCGTGTGGCAACTTGCGTGCATCATGGTTTTAACATTTGCTCGTCATGACGCCGCTTGCAGAATTTGGGGAACTTGCGAGTATCATGATTTTTAAGAGATTGAGAATTTTTCAACCTTGAGGCAAGGCTCTGCACTTTGAACTCTTTTGCATTCTCAAGCTGTGGGCTGAAAGCATGTGAGATAGACAGAGAGCCTGAAAAATTCTTTCCTGGGCCCAGTTCTTGCGTAACCTTGTGGGTCCTCAACAGGTTCTTCCTTTCCAAACGGGCCCCCTCCGAACAAGTGCCCTTATAAGGGCCCGTGCAAGCCACCCCGCGGGGGTGGCGGATGCTTTTCTCCCCCAGTGGGAGCAGCGAGTGTTTTGCTCAGCCGCTCCGACGGAGCCCGTGTGCTCCTCTTTCTCCCTCCAGGTTCCTGGGCTGCCCTCGTGGCTGCCGCGCACTGGCCTCATACTTGTCTGCGGATTCTTTTGCCGCTGGCTTCTTGAGTTCTGCTCGGCCCTCAGCGCTTCATAGTCCTTTTTGGTTGATTAGGGGCTTTTCTTGGGACAATGAAGCGCAACCTTGAAGAGGCCTACGAACAGCACCTCGAGTACCTCCTTAAAGGGTCCAAAACCCGGTTTGTGCAGCCCTGGGACAGGTCCCAGATTCTCAACCCACCAAGCATTCTGCCAGGCCTCCCTCCCTACCAACGGTGGGGCGTCGGGCTCCCGAGTGCAGCCTTGGGGTCCTCTGCTCCCCCAACACCTTCTGTGCCGCCCCCCGCGCCCAGTATTCCGTTTGCAAAGTCCAAAGGGATCCCTTGGCATGCAAAGCAGACAGAAAGCAGATCCGCTGCCATTGCCAAATGGAGTGGCATAATGCTGTCACACGGCGAGCACTTCGGGGTCGTGGAGAGGGTTGCGGTGGATGCTTCCGGTGGTAAACCTCAGCAGTTGTCTTCGGTTCTACTTGACATTTTTGCTTTGAAGGCGAGCGCTACCCTGCATGGCCGAGCGGGGCCAATCCTCAGGTACTTGAAGTTCTGTAAAAAGGAAGGCCAGCCGCCTTTCCCATTCAGGGAAGACCTCTTGTACCGCTTCGTCAAGGAGTACTGCGCCAGGCAAGCCCCCACTTTCGCTCGCAGCTTTCTGAGTTCGGTGGCTTTCTGTCGGCATGTTCTTGAATGCAAGTTTGAAGATGTCTTTTCGACCCGTTTGACTGGTGCTTGCAACGCTCTGTACTTGAACAAGAGAAAGCAAGTTCAGAAGCCGCCGCTCAAGGTCTCGCACGTCAAGGCCTTGGAAAAGATCGTCACTGGCTGGGGTGATTTCAGTGGGTCAGACAGATATGCTGCCGGATGTTTCCTGTACGCCACTTATGCTCGTGCACGGTTCTCCGACATGCAAAATAGTGGCGCTATCACCAAGGATGTTACCGAACTGCCCGATGGTGGAGTCAGGGGCTTCCTTGAAGCTTCTGTGTGTCGAACGAAGACGGCTTACACCCTCGAGCGGAAGACGCGCTACCTTTCCATGTGCGCCCCGGTTCAGGGCCTTCTTGATGAGTCGTGGGCGATTGCGTGGATGGACATCGCCGAGCTTTACGGCCCTGGCTGGTCTGAGGACTCGCCCCTCTTGCCTGCTCCTATGGACGGGGGGGGTTGGTCTTCATCGCCGATTGCTGTTGGGATGGGAGCTAAGTGGTTGAGGAGTCTGCTGTATAAGGCCGGGGAGGACGTTGCTACAGTCAAGCTTCTTGGCACGCATTCCATGAAGGCCACCGGCCTCAGCTGGGCTGCAAAATGGGGGGCCAGCAAGGAAATTCGATTGATCCTGGGGTACCACAGTGCCTCTCGGGCGGACAGCGACGTCGTGTACGGCAGAGACAACGTCGCCCCAAGGCAGTTCGATCAGATTCTGGAGGCCATCACCTTCGACAAGTTCAGACCCGACTGCACAAGGTCAGGGATGTTCACGCCGGAGCGCCCGACTGCACCAGAGGCCCTCCCGGACGACGTTTCGGAGTCAACAGAAGGCAGTGAAGACGAGGAGCACCCAGACTTGGAGGAGGAGGAGCAGGCCGTCGACGAGCTTGTTGGTCCGTGGCAGCCCGAGCCCGGCTTGAGGCAACGGCTGGATGAGGCAGAGGTGTTTCGTCACCGAGTCAGTCGCTTCATCCATGTTGTTTCGTCGGAGGAGGGCACTATGTTTCGCTGCGGCCGAGCGATCACTTCGTCATATTCTAAGTGCGATGATATACCGCAAGTTTTGTATCCGTTTTGCAAGCAGTGTCATCCAAGATCTTCTGAGGGACCAGTGTGATGGATCGCAGACTTGGGGCGCCTTTTGGGTGATGCCAGGGCTTGCGAACCACCCCTGGCAGGAGGAGAGGGCCTGGGGCGTCTTTGACGATGCCAGGCCCGTGCTCAGGGGCGCAAAGGCGATGCCGAGCCAAACGTGTTCTTTTTTTGCCGAGAAAAAGAACGCAAGCTTACAGAGATGGCAAGGTGAGCACCCGTCCGAGTTTTGATAGTCATGCTGGATGTGTGCGGTGGGTTTCAGCAGCCGAGTGAGCACGTTTTGGCTTGATTCCGTCAGGTGCAGCTAGGAGGATGGCTGCCTCTTACTCGGACAGTCAGAGTGTTTTCAATGCGCGGGTAGATGCCAGCGGACTCACAAAGGAGGATGCCACAAAAATCAAAGCCGCGGTATCTTCACTGAGACAGTTGGCGTTCATCTCCAGCTTCACCCCAGGTCAGGCCGATGAATCCCCGCTGATGGCCGCACTGAAGCTCATGCTTGGAAGGGATGCGGAACTTGGTGTCCAGGCCAGCTTCCGAGCTCTGTACCACGAGTCCTACGCCGTCGTCACTTCTGAGCTGCGCCAAAAGATCGAGAAGTCCGAAGAGCCAGCAAGCAGGCGCCTGACACAACCCGAGCGAGCCGAGAGGTTCGAGAAGCAGAAAAAGAAGCTCGTTGGAGTTTCCATCAAGGGCTTGAGCGAACCTAGCGAAGCCTTGGTAGACAGGGCCGTGGCTTGCTATGAAAACAACGAGGTTCGCTATCTGTCTTGGGAAATATGTACTTCAAGAGAGCAAGAAGTGGGCTCAGACCGACGCCGTGACACCCGCTTCACCGTCGACGAGCACACCGGGCGTCTGAAGGTTGAAAACAAGGATGCGGAACAGAAAGCGGTCACATCTTCCGAGGTTCATGTCATGCAGGCTTTGCAGCGCCGTTCCCTTGCCATGGACCAAGCCAACCTCGTCGAGTACGCGATCATGCAGCAGTGGAGTGATCGCTTGATGCGTGCACGCATGCAGGAAGCCCCAGCTGGGTATGTTCGGCCAACCTGGACTCAACTCGTAGCTGCAGACAAGAAGCTTTTCAGCGAGTTGCGAGACCTGACCCGTGACGGAGTGCAATCCTCTGGTGGAGCCAGGCCCTTGGACACGCATCTTCCGACTGTCATGAATGCTTTCGATGTCGTGTGCTTGATGCAGCCGCTTCCTTCTGCTTCGTCTCGATCCCTTGATGAAGGCAAGGAGTTGGAGCGACCCGAGCGCCCAGGCCCCTACGGCCCCCGCAAGCCTCGCAATCCCAAGGGCCAGGGCAAGGGCAAAGGAAAGACCAAAGCTCCCGGGATGCCAGCGCAAATGGTGGCGTGGGGGTGCGTGTCTGCCACGAAGAAAGGAAATCCGTACTGCTACGGATTCCAGCTCGGCACTTGTGCCAATGAGGTCAAGAACAATGCGTGCCAGAGGGGCCTCCACGCATGCGCCATCCCGAAGTGTGGGCAGCATGGGCACGGAGCTTCTGCTTGCCCGAAGCGGAGCAAGGCTCAGTCGGAGTGACTAGGGCCCCGATCAGCCGAGTTTGTTGACCCTGGACCCTTGCGTTTTGCAGGTCAGGGACAGCCTGTGCAGGATGCCGTTGCGCAACCTTGCAGCAATCTCAAGCTTTCTTCTGGATCGGATGCAGTTTGGCAACCGATCCCCTGTGCAGCGAATGCCGAAGTGCAATCACTGCCGCGCGACAGTCCGAAGCTTTCTGGTGGATCGGATGCTGGCCAGCAACCGAACCTCCAGGCCCTGCGGATCGCTCCCGCGCCTGAGGGCGGGGCGACCCCAAAGCAATTTTCTTCTAGTCCCAACTCTGCCAGCCTCTTGCATGCCATCGAGACCTTCGATTCACTCCCCGATGTTGCTGTTTCACGCACTCCCCATGCCGTAAGAGATAAGGTTCAGAAGTCCTTCTATTCGGGGATGTACCGCCGAGGCCCCCTTGTCGGCTTGCGATCTTCGGTCGCCCAATTCCCCGAGGCTGTCAAGGTGTTCACCCGGCTGATTGCGGAAGTGTCTCCCACTCATCAGTTCAGCAGCTTTGTTATCCTTGAGGGATCCGAGATGGGAATTCACCGTGACGCCCAAAATGCCTGTCTGCCCAACCTTGTAATCCCCTTGACCGCTTTGAAGGAGGCGAGCTCGCAGTCGCAGACCCCGAGGGACAAGTGGTCTCTCATGGAGGTCAGTCCTTCCGTGCGCGGCTTTGTGATTTGGGACGGGGTCCCATTGCCTTCAATGCTCAAGGGTTGCAGCATGCAGTGATGCCGTTCAAGGGCCGCCGCCTTGTGTTGATTGCTTATTGCCTTAAAATGTTGCATCACTTGACAGGGCCTCTTGTCGTGCCTTGCGCGCTTTGGGCTTCCGACTTCCAGCTAAGGAGCCGCCTCCGCGCACACTGCCTGCAGTTGTCACGGGCTTCCCTGACCTTAGGCTTTCTGGGTGTAGTTCCCCTAGTCCCTCGGGTCACCCCGCCAGCCCTGGCCCCGCGCTGCAAGAAGCCGCCACCTCGGAGGGGCCCCCTGGGCCTTCGACTGCCATAAGCGACTCTGCAGCCTTGCCGGCCGTCCGGCCGCAAAAACTACTGTTCATCGAGTTGTGCTGTGGGTCCGCTGGGCTCTCCGCGGCGTTCCGAGCCCTGGGGTTTCAGGTCTTGGCTGTCGACCATCCTGGCAACCGCCATGTTCCCTTGGTGCATTGTGTGCATCTTGACTTACGCTTGGAGTCTTCGTGGAGCTACCTTCGCCGGCTTGTGCAGGCCCGCCAGGTCTTCCTCATTCACGTTGCGCCTCCCTGCGGCACAGCCTCGCGGGCACGCGAAATCCCGATCAAAGGGCAGCCATCCCCGCCCGTCCTTCGCAGTGAGGCCTTCCCTGCGGGGCTGCCCGGCCTATCTCCCTCATGGCAGGCCAAGGTCGATTCTGCTAACTCGATATATCGCCGGGCTGCGCGCTTCTGTGCTTGGCTGCTTGAGGAGGCGCCCCATACTCACTTCTGCGTGGAGAACCCTGCTCGCTCCTACATGTGGTTGCTGCCTGAGTTCCGGGACTTGCGTCCTCGTTGTTCTGTTGTGCCTTATGACGCATGCATGCACGGGGGCGCGCGCGCTAAGCATCAGGAGCTGTGGACCTCTCTGCCCGAGTTGTCCGCCCTTGCCCGCCAGTGCGACAACTCACACCCTCACCGCCCTTGGGGTTTTTTTTTTCCTTCCGGGGATTTCTCAACTGCCGATGAAGCCGAGTATCCCGAGGTGTTTTGCACTCGGTATGCTTCCGTCAAATGAGTCGGCCCGAACGGCCACACACAAGCAACCGCGCACTTCTAAGGCTGTTGTCTTGATCGATGAGTACCCTTACCAGGTCACTGTCCCCCTCCCGTCCGGCCAGTTGCCTGCGCTCGATGACAAAAACTGTTTGTGTGCTGCTTTGGGCCCCGTGCCTGTCGGTTCTAAGGTCCTCCGGGTTAATTTTGAAGGGGGGGTGGTTTTCCCGAAGCGCCCTCGACCCGACAGAAAGCTGGCAGATCAGGTCTTGCTGGCTGGCCACTCTGCTGTGGCCTCAATCACTTGTGGTGTGTACAGGGACCCCTGCAGTTTGCCAAGCTTTCCCTTACCCTAACACACCCCTTTGACGTAGCCACAGCCCTACCTGACCAGGCCTTGACCGTTCTCGCCAGGGTGCTCCTCGATGGTCCTTTGACTGTTGTTAGACGCAGGTTGGACCTCTACCTCACCTGGAGGAAGTGGGCTCAGGAGTTGGTGGTAAGAGGTAAGAAGCTCCTCCTCCTTGATAGGATTGCCAAATCCTTGGATTGGCCCGATGAGCACTTGCACCATGACCTCACGCATGGCTTCCGTCTTGTGGGGGAGGAAAAGCCAAGCGGTGTCTTTCCTTTGGACCCTAAACCGGCGGAGCTGACTGTGGACGGCTTGATGGAACAGGCTGAGGTCCTGAAGCCACTCTTGTGGGATAAGATAGCCCAAAGCCCGGCAAATCCTCATGAGCAAGATCTTTTCGACATCACGCATGCTGAGTTTTCGGAAAAGGGGTGGCTGGACCCAGCTCGGTCCTGGGACGAACTCGAAGACTACTTCAAGGGCTCATGGGTCCCTGCCCGTCGATTTGCAGTGGAGCAAAGAGGGAAACTAAGGCCCATCGATGACTTGGCCGAAAATGGGGTCAACAGTGCCTTCGCTCCTTGCGACAAGCTCACGCTCCGGGCCATCGACGAGGTTGTTTGGACTGCAGCCTTCATCATGCGCGCCTTGATTTGCAAAGGCTCTGTGCATGTCCCACTCTCCACGGGAGAAGTGATCTCTGGTCCACTTCACCCGTTCTGGGCTTCCAACACCTCTCGGGCACGCCCGCTTGTGAAAACGGTGGATCTTAAATCCGCCTACAAGCAGCTTCCCCTTCACCCGTCGGATCACCGCCTGTGTGTCGTGAGCATGCGTAGGCCTTCTGATTCGCGAGTGGTGGGGTATGTTTCAAAGGTGTTGGTATTCGGCGCGTCCGCCAGCGTCACGGCCTTCAACAGGGTGGTCCGTCTTCTTCAGAGAATCCTGCAGGAAGCTTGGGTCATGACAAGCAACTACTTCGATGACTATCCCATACTGGAGTTGTCTGCACTTGCCGGGAGTTGTGATAAGACCGTGCATAACATCCTGTCCCTTCTCGGCTTTACTCGTGCCGCTGACAAGGAGGAAGACTTCGCTCCTGCTGCGAACCTCTTGGGTGTCACCCTAGACCTGTCTGACCCACCCTTAAGCATGTCAGAGTTGCAAATCGCGAGGACAAGTGCACCGAGATGTCGGCCTCCATTGACCAAGTGCTTGACAAGGGTTTTCTTAAAGCCTCCGAGGTCGCATCTTTGTTCGGACGCATTCAGTTCATGGAGGGCCAGCTGTTGGGGAGGTTGGGGCGTTTAGCCCTTATGGAGCTTAGGTCCCTGTGCTCCTCAAATGGGGAGTTGCGTCTTGGCAAGTTCGAGTGCGATGCTTTTCGAAATCTTAAGCAGCGCTTGGTTTCGGGCCCTCCTCGGGCCATCCCCACGGCGATACCGAGAGGGTGTGCTTGCGTCTTTACCGATGGGGCATGCGAGTTTGAGGACGGCCTTCCTGTCTGCACCATAGGGGGCATCCTCTACCACCATCAGGAGGGAAGTTGGAACACTCGCTTCTTCGCGTGCAGGATGCCCGCCACTCTTGTTCAAAAGTGGAGCAATGCCGGCAAGCGCCATTTGATTGGACCCGTTGAGTTATTTGCAGTAGTCGCAGCCAGGCGGCTATGGGGGTCTTACTTAGATTCCTCAAGGGCCTTGTTTTTCGTGGACCACTCAGGTGTTCACGCCGCTTGTGTGAGTGGGACATCCAGGGACACTGTGTGGCGATCACTGCTTGTCGAGTTTGAGCGGGCTGATGCAGTGCCCATGATTGGTTGGATAGCACGTGTGCCAAGTGCTAGCAATCCTTCGGACGCTCCCTCAAGGGGCTCGTCAAACTTTCCTTTCTGGGGCACCTGCTCTCGTGATCACCCTTCATGCTGCATGTCAGGCGAACTCCTGAGCCCGCTTGAGTTGAAGAGGGATGTCTAAGGCGCGCTCACTCGTGTACGGTGATGCGTGACCTTGGAGGCCCTAGGAGGGCTTTTGGATTCTCCCGACTTGTGGCATTGCCATCGGAAGAAAAAAGAACAATCGCGCCCAAGTGAATAAGTTGAGCATTCGTCTATTCTGTTGAATGAGACCACAAGGGTGCTTTGTTTATCCGCATGGGATTCAACTTTTATATTCGTCAGATGCTATACTGCTATACACGTACATTGGGATTTATACTTGTATCCGAAAAGTTGTTGTGGCTATAAGCTTTATTGGAGACTCGTCTCCTATAGCTTTATAGACACACAATGTTTCAAAAGTTGTCTGGTCACTTTTGAAACTCGCTTTTCGGATCTTTGTAACCTTGGAAGCTACTTCCCTCGTGTGGCAACTTGCGTGCATCATGGTTTTAACATTTGCTCGTCATGACGCCGCTTGCAGAATTTGGGGAACTTGCGAGTATCATGATTTTTAAGAGATTGAGAATTTTTCAACCTTGAGGCAAGGCTCTGCACTTTGAACTCTTTTGCATTCTCAAGCTGTGGGCTGAAAGCATTTGAGATAGACAGAGAGCCTGAAAAATTCTTTCCCCACCCACCCACCCGGGGATGTCTAAGGCGCGCTCACTCGTGTACTGTGATGCGTGACCTTATACTGCTATACACGTACATTGGGATTTATACTTGTATCCGAAAAGTTGTTGTGGCTATAAATCACAGAGAAAGTTTTACCTTGAGAAATGGGCCAGAAGAGCCAAAGAACTGGAGCCAGAGGAAGCACAGCTGAAGGCTGGCATGTCCACCCATCGAGGAGCGATCCTCGGACCGAAACGCATCCTCCTCTTCCAAGAAATGCTTCAAGACATGCAATATGATGATATGGGCGTGGTGCAGGAGCTCATTCAAGGAGCCACACTCACAGGCCCTATCCCAGTGACGGGAGTTTTGGATGCGAAGCTGAAGCCAGCCAGGATGGACATTGAACAACTCGTGGACATGTCCGAACAGGTGTGTGAACAGATTTTCGCCAGGACAATATCCAGTGGTGATAGAAGCATGGACATGCTGTTGTGGGAGAAAACGTTAGAGGAAGTTGAGAAGGGTCATCTCGCAGGACCTTTCGACGTTTGCCATCTACCCAAAGGTTGTTTGGTGAGTTCCCGATTCCCTCTGATGCAGGGAGGAAAACTCCGACCTATCGACAACTATTCCTCCAGTCTCATTAATGACACGGTCACCGTCTCCGAGAAACCTGTTACACATTCAATCGATGAGATTGCACTCCTAATTACCAAGCTGTCGAAGGCAGCTAGGAAAAAAGGACTGTTGGAACTCTTCGGGAAGACGGCTGACCTTAAAAGCGCCTATCGACAGCTGGCCATTTCGGATGAAAGCTTGAGATTTTCATACTTAGCAGTGTACGACCCGGTCGAGGGGAAGCCCAAATTGTTCAAGCAACTGGCAGTGCCTTTTGGTTCCACGAAAGCAGTATACTTCTTCTTGAGGGTTGCGAGGGCGCTTTGGACGATCCTGGTGAAAGGAGCCAGAATCCCTACAACGAATTACTTTGACGACTTTGTTCTCCTTGCGTTGAGTGGTGACAGGAGTTCATGTGGGTATACTTTCGACGAGGTCATGAAACTGTTAGGTTGGAAGCTGTCATCAGACAAGACTACGGAGTGGAGCACAAGTTTCGAAGCTTTGGGCGTTTTGTTTGAGCTGGACCAAACAGGGACAGGGGTCCTGAAAGTCAAGAACACCGAACGAAGGCGTCGGGAGTTGGTCACAGCCATCAGAGGTTTCTTGGAGAATGGTCTGATGGGCCAGAAGGAGGCCTTGCAATTGAGGGGCCGATTACAGTTTGCACAAGCTCAGTTCTTCGGAAGGTTGGGCAGGAGATGTCTGGTTGAGATCACGAGACATGCCTATGGTGGGAGGCGGAAAATTCCGGGATACACCAAAGACCTTTTGGAAGATTTTTGCAAGTTCTTAGACGCTGCTCAGCCCAGGTTGGTGGGACAGGTGTCATGCAGATCGTTCATGATACTTACCGATGCAGCCTTCGAAACCGAGACAAGGTCTGGTGGCTTAGGTGGTGTGCTCCTTACGGGGAGTGGGACAGCACTGTCATTCTTCAGTGTGCCGATCTCAGAACTCCAAACTCAAGTGCTATCCACAGAGGAAGAGCAAACCATTATCTATGAGCTGGAAATGCTTGGGGTTTTGGTTGGTTTAAAGTTGCTGACAGGCAAGACTGCAGCCTTTGCTGAATCGTATTCCCAGCATGGAGCGACTGCTGGAACTGGGGTGATCATCTACCTCGACAACGATGCAGCCCGACACGCCTACATCTCGGGATCTGCCAAGAAAGGAGTCGCTGGAATGTTGGTGGATGAAGCAAACTTCCTGGAATATGTTCACGGATTTTTACCGTGGTACGCAAGGGTTGCCTCCCCAGCGAATCTTGCAGATCAACCCTCAAGGTTCCAACTTGATTTGGTGAGGAAGTTAGGATTCAAGGACGAATCGCCAGAAGCGAGCAGGATAGTTTCGGCGATTGAGAAGAGAGCCTCGAAACTGAAGGTTTGACACACGGCTCAAGGGAATGGGGAAAGGAGCCCTGTGTCTCACAGGACTTTCGAGACTCAACAACAGTCTTGGGTCTTACAGGAGGGATCAAGATCCAACCAGCCGTGCTCGGTACTGTTTCCCCACCACGTGAAAAGATTCGAAAGTGTGCGAGTGATTTGAGCAGAATGCATGTTGCTTGGTGGAGAGGGTGTCATGCTTGATGTGTTCGAACACGACATGACATTTCAAGACAAGCACGGTTTTGAACAATAAGTATCGTTCTTCGAAGACCTGGAGAAGATAGAGCTTTATTGTTCAAAGAAAACAACATTCGAAATGTTGCAGTGAACAAAACATTTGTTTGTTGTTTTAGTGCTTGCCTTTTTGCACGACTTTATTTCCACTGCTCGATCAGTTTTATGCTTGTTTGTATGGTTTGTACTTACTGTATACACCCGTCGCAGCGGGACCTCTCGAGGGGCAGGATGCCCGGAAAGTGCTCTTAGAGGCTGATAGATCATTTTTGAAAAACCCACCCTCGCCACCCTGGTATACTAATGTGTGAGTTTTGCAACTTTGTCAATAGATCCGTGTGCACAAGAGGCTGTGGTAGTATCCGGGAAGGTAACAGGCAGCTCAGCGAGCGTGTTGCAATCAGGGACCCTTGTTAGCGCGGGCCTTACTTTGTGTGATGACAGTTTTGCTTGTCTGCTTGATGCATACAGGCTCGAGTATTGCTCTTCTTGCCACTTTACCTTTCAGCACTCTTTGGCTCGGTCGTTGACACGAGATCAGCTAAATGATTTTCGAGTGTGGCTTCACTCTTTGAACATGGATTCCCTCGTGAAGGTGGCTGAGGTATTGGACGATCTCATGGCAGACCGTGAGATGCAGCAACGAGAGGCTGCTGCAGCTCTTCAGTCTCAGTGGCAGTTTGTGAACCCTGAACCTGACTTGGAGCAGCCGAGTGAAGCTGCCTCGTCAAGCTCTCAGCGACAGCCAGAAACTTCTTGACCTGTCGTTCTGAACCTGATGAGTATTCTGTTCAGGCCGTCAAACAAAGGTCGAACCTGTGAGCGGTGGTGAGTTGGCTGGCATTTTCCTCTCGAAGGGGAAAGGAGCCCTGTGTCTCACAGGACTTTCGAGACTCAACAACAGTCTTGGGTCTTACAGGAGGGATCAAGATCCAACCAGCCGTGCTCGGTACTGTTTCCCCACCACGTGAAAAGATTCGAAAGTGTGCGAGTGATTTGAGCAGAATGCATGTTGCTTGGTGGAGAGGGTGTCATGCTTGATGTGTTCGAACACGACATGACATTTCAAGACAAGCACGGTTTTGAACAATAAGGGCAAATCTCAGCTTACTCAGCTTGTAGCGGCTGGGCAAATCTCAGCTTGCTCAGCTTGTAGCGGCTGGGCAAATCTCAGCTTGCTCAGCTTGTAGCGGCTGGGCAAATCTCAGCTTGCTCAGCTTGTAGCGGCTGGGCAAATCTCAGCTTGCTCAGCTTGTAGCGGCTGGGCAAATCTCAGCTTGCTCAGCTTGTAGCGGCTGGGCAAATCTCAGCTTGCTCAGCTTGTAGCGGCTGGGCAAATCTCAGCTTGCTCAGCTTGTAGCGGCTGGGCAAATCTCAGCTTGCTCAGCTTGTAGCGGCTGGGCAAATCTCAGCTTACTCAGCTTGTAGCGGCTGCAGCTTAGCTGGGCAAATCTCAGCTTGCTCAGCTTGTAGCGGCTGGGCAAATCTCAGCTTACTCAGCTTGTAGCGGCTGGGCAAATCTCAGCTTGCTCAGCTTGTAGCGGCTGGGCAAATCTCAGCTTGCTCAGCTTGTAGCGGCTGGGCAAATCTCAGCTTACTCAGCTTGTAGCGGCTGGGCAAATCTCAGCTTACTCAGCTTGTAGCGGCTGGGCAAATCTCAGCTTACTCAGCTTGTAGCGGCTGGGCAAATCTCAGCTTGCTCAGCTTGTAGCGGCTGGGCAAATCTCAGCTTACTCAGCTTGTAGCGGCTGGGCAAATCTCTGGCAAATCAGCTTACTCAGCTTGTAGCGGCTGGGCAAATCTCGGGCAAATCTCAGCTTACTCAGCTTGTAACAGCCGCTACAAGCGAGTAAGCTGAGATTTGCCCAGCCGCTACAAGCTGAGTAAGCTGAGATTGCCCAGCCGCTACAAGCTGAGTAAGCTGAGATTTGCCCAGCCGCTACAAGCTGAGTAAGCTGAGATTTGCCCAGCCGCTACAAGCTGAGTGAATTTGCCCAGCCGCTACAAGCTGAGCAAGCTGAGATTTGCCCAGCCGCTACAAGCTGAGCAAGCTGAGATTTGCCCAGCCGCTACAAGCTGAGTAAGCTGAGATTTGCCCAGCCGCTACAAGCTGAGTAAGCTGAGATTTGCCCAGCCGCTACAAGCTGAGCAAGCTGAGATTTGCCCAGCCGCT